TCTGAGGCAGTATCACTACAGAAGTAGATTGCCCCATCTTCTTTCCAAGGAGTGGCTGGTGGGTTTGAACCGCCAGCCTTCTGGTTAGCAGTCAATAACTATTAAAAAAAAAAAAACCCACTGCCATTGAGTTGATTCCAACTAATAGTGACCCTGAGGTGGTAAATCTTTACAGAAATAGATTGCCCAGTCTTCCACAGAGTGGCTGGTGGGGTTGAACCATCAATCTTCTGGTTAGCAGTCAGATGCTTTATGGCACTGTGCTACCAGAGCTCCTCAATAATAACTATACTATCTATACATGAAATGCAAAATACAAGTAGCAAAACCCTCCCTGTTTTCTCTTACCTAATGGACAAATGAAAGAGAAGCTTAGACTTCTGGTGAAGTGACTCATTCAGCTAGCAACTGTTCCCTTAAGAGCCTGTCTTTTGGTTTTGGCAAGACCTCAAGTTCTCATCTTTGGTCAATCACTGTTCTTGGGATAATCTCTGGGGAAAATTTTGAAGTAACCAAAGCTTTTTGTTTGGTATGCCCCACAATAGTTTAGCATTTACCTCCTCCCTTTGGCATTGTTTCTTCCTTATCAACCTTTCCCCTCCACACACACATATCAGTCATTTATATATCAGTGGGAATTTAACTCAGTTCACTCCCTTTACCAGGGATAATTGCATTTTATACCTTTTCTCCAATTGTGAGTGCATGGATTTGTTTCTAATACTAGAATTTTAAGCACTAATGAGCTAATATACAAACAATTTGGGAGAGGGACTGCTGAGGTACCTTCTCTTGAAACTTTTTTGTAAGTATGTATTTTCTCAGTTTTAAGTAAGGTTAAGGAGCACAGGTAGTGCTGTGCCTAAGGCATTTGACTGCTAACCAAAAGGTTGGTGGTTCAAACCCACCAGCCACCCCATGGAAGGAAGAGGGGCAATCTACTTCTGTAAAGATTTATTGCCTTAGAAACCTAATGGGGGTCGCCATGAATCGGAATCAACTCAATAGCAACATGTTTTTGGGTATAAGTAAGGTTTAGGGCCCAGCTCTCTATTCTTAATGGAACTATCTGTTCTAGGTTCAGATGCATGTATGTATACATACACAGTACTTGTACGTGCTTACAAATAAAAATGTGAGAAAGGATAGCTAGGTGGCAAAACATGGAATCTAATAGTTATGGAAAGAGACATAAAGAATTCACTAGAAATAATTATTAAAGTCACTTTCTATGCCATTCTTATCTCTTCCTCATAATGAATTACAAGTATCAGACTAAACCTAGAGCTTTTTGGTTTGCTTGTTTTTTTCCAGTTTGACAAATGGACAGACTCTCAGAGGAGAAGAATCCTGATAGGCCTGTTAGAACGCTGCTCCCTGTCACAGCAAAAGTTCTGCTGTAGACAGCTTCAGGAAAAAATTCCAGCAGAAGCCCTGGATTTTACTACTAAGCTTCCACGAGTATTGTCTTTATACATCTTTTCTTTCCTGGACCCTCGAAGCCTTTGTCGTTGTGCACAGGTAAAGGCAAAGAAGTGGTGCATGGCATTTTGTAAGGACAGCTGAAAAAAGGAATTTGCCATAAAGTTGACTCCAGTTCATGGCAACCCCATGTGTGTCTGAGTAGAACTATGCTCTACAGAGGTTTCAATGGATGACTTTTCAGAAGTAGATTGTTGCCTGGCTTTTCTTCCAAGGTGCCTCTGGGTGGACCTGAACCACCAACCTTTCAGTTAGTAGCTGAGTGTGTTCATCTTTTTTATCACCCAATGAGATAGATTGACAGAGTGGCTGCAATGATGGGCTCAGGTGTAGTAAGGATTGTGAGGCTGGCACAGAACTGGGCAGTGTTTCATTCTGTTGTACATAAGGGTTACTATGAGTCGGAGCCAACTCAATGGCACCTAACAACAACAGCAACATCACCCAGGTAAAGACAGCATAGACAACTCCAAAACTTGAATAACTTAAGGGAAAAACCACATAAACCAAACCAAGAAATAGATGATGTGTAGTCTGTATGATTTTTTACCCCCACCTCCTTTGAGTCTAGTTCTGTATTTAGTGCTTAAAGAAGGAAAACAAGTATAAGATACCATGAGGCACTAGGGAGCCATTGCCTTCTAGTCAGTTCTGACTCATAGAAACCCAATCTATTACAGAGTAGAACTGAGCTCTGTAGGGTTTTCTTGGTGTTTTTCTTGGTTTTCTTTACAGAAGCAGAATGTTAGGCCTTCTGTGGTGCCGCTGGGTGAGTTCAAACTGCCAACCTTTTGGCTAGAAATTGAGTGCAAACTATTCACACACTCAGGGACCTAGGATACCATCAATGTCCACAGAAAGTACTAGCTAGCTGGGGAGACAGATAAACATGCAAAAGGGTTCATCAGCAGGACAGTCTTGTATTATTGCACATCATACAACTATAATAAAATCCTAAATTGTATTGTTGTTATTTGCTATCAAGTCAACTCTGACTCATAATGACTCTAAAGAACACACTAGAACTGCACCATAGGGTTTTCTAGACAATAATCTTTATGGGAGCTGATCATCAGGTCTTTTCTTCCATGGAGCCACTAGTAGGTTCGAACTGCCAACCTTTTGGTTAGCAGCTGAGCTCTTAACCACTGTGCAATCAGGCTCTTAAGCTGTGTAGTATAAGCCGTTTATGACTTTGTTGTTGTTGTTATGTGCCATCGAGTCGGCCCCGACTCATAGCGACCCCTCCTTGGGTTTCCGAGGCAGTATCACTACAGAAGTAGATTGCCCAACCTTCCTTCCGAGGAATGGCTGGTGGGTTTGAACCGCCAGTCTTCTGGTTAGCAGTCAAGTGCCTTAGGCACTATGCTACTAGAGCTCCGTTTATAACTAGCAGCTCATAATAAGATGCCAATGAGATAATATGAACAAAAGAATATGAGACTAAAGAGATCAGAATGGGTAGGCATGGTCCCAGAAGCCTTGGAAAAGGAACTGACCATTATCATATTCTTACAAGTAATTGCATGGTATATTAAAATGAAGTTATTTAGGTATAAAACGATAGTCATTTTGTTTAGTCTTTTCATAGTGTAAGCCCATTTTAGTAAGACCAGAAATTACCTGCTAGTGTGCATTCCATAACATGTAACATATTAATATTAGTTTTTAAAATTAAAAAATGGATATGATAAGGAATATGTATTATTCAGTAAATGGTGTGGGTAGACAAATAGGCAGCAATCTTGAGGGAAAAACTAAGTAGGATAAAGGATTTATATGAAACCAGAAGTAACCATTAAAATGCTCAAAGATAACATAGGCTTTGTAAGTACAATACCCAGAATCCTTAAAAGGCAAAACACAACACAAAATCTTACTTTATTCACTTTACATCTCATACCCAAAAAAAACCAAACTCACTGCCTTTGAGTCAATTCCAACTCATAGCACCGCCCCCCCCGCCATTGTGTTTCCAAGGCTGTAAATCTTTATAGAAGCAGAATACCTCATCTTTCTTCCATGGAGCAGTTGGTGGGTTCAAACTGCCAACTTTTGGTTATTACTCAAATGCCTTAACCACTATAGCACGGGAGCTCCTTTACATCTCATAAGTAAGAATAAAAGAAAACAAGATTTAAAATTGTTAGTTTATGAAAAGTAAAAATTTTCTCCATGGAAAAGAACACCAAAAATAAATTCTAACAGTAAACAGGGAAAAAATATATTGCAAACAAAAGGTTAATTTCCTAATTTTTTAAAAAATATCCTTGAAGTCTTTAAAAAAAAAAAAAAAAAAGCCCACACCTAGCAGAAAACTTGCAAAGGAAATGTATAAGATATTCAGAGAAAAAGAAATGTAGATGTCTCTAAGACATGTAAGATGCTTAGCCTCATCAGGACATACCTGAATCAGATTAACTGAGATTTTTAAAAAATGATAATATTCTCTATTGATGAGGGTATGTGTCATGTATTTTTAGTAGTTAAGTTGGTGCCCCTGTCATGGAGAACAGTGAAAAATTTAGAATGAAAATTCCCCTTGACTTGTTAGTTCCACTTTTTGGAATTAGTCTGATGAGTATACTTTAACATATAAAAATTATGTCTGTAGAAGAATATCACAGCATTGTTCGTAATAGGTGAAAGTTGGAAAGGGCCTAAATGTCCACCATAAATAAAGTGCAACTGACTCTTAAGATATTATCAGTGAAAAAATAATAGGTACAGAGTTGTGCTGTTTTGAAGAAGAAACAAAAAGAGTATTTGTTTTTTATGTGCATAAAGTGTTTCTAGAGAAACATAAAAAACTGGTAACAGTGGAGGGGCACTGAGGACAGGGATGGGAGAGAGATTTACTTTTTACTGTCAGTCCCTTTATATCTTTGAATTTTGTATTAATGTATGCATATTGTATATTCAAAAAATGAAATAAATGTTTAAAAGAACGTAGCACTCTAACAAGAGAGTATCATACAGCCAAATTATTATGCAACCATCAGAAAATGTGTTGAAAGAATATTGATAACATCAGAGATGCTTATAATATGATAAAGAAAGAAAGATTTTAAATTGTATAAATTATCTTCCTATTTTGTTTTATATATGCCTAGAAAAAAGGCTGGAAGGAAAAGAACCCCACTAGACTGTAAATAGGAGCTCTGGTAGAGTAGTACCTAAGGCACTTGACTGCTAATCAGAAGGCTGGTGGTTCAA